CAACTTCAACTTGGCTGTAATGATCTTTGATATAAGCTTGTACAGGGTAGTACAACATGCTATAGGTATGAATTCCTTGACAGATCTTGGGCTTGCAACCTTTGGTATCAAAGTTACTGTGGTACAGTTTACACTTCTTAGCATTTTTCCATTGGTAAAAAAACTCTTGAATAGCCTTTTTAACCTCTACTCCAATTATATTCCAGTAGGTCTTGAAAAATTCCGCTGGAAATCCATCTATTCCTGGGGCCTTATCATTTGGCAATTCTTTAAGAGCTTTATCAATTTCCTCCTCTGTTACTTGTGCATTGAGAAGTTGTTGTTGCTCCTTAGTAAGACAGTGACCATCTCTAGCTATTTCAATATCAATACAAGGTAATTCATTAGCTGATGTGCCCAAGAGTGTTTGGAAGAATCCTCTAAACTCTTGTTCTATCAGAACATGATCAGTCATTTTATCCCATTGGTCATTGAATATGGCTGAAATTCTATTCCTCGATTGTCTGGCCTTCAAAGGAGCATGAAAGAATTTGGAATTCTGATTCGCTGCCTGTATCCACATTGCTCTGGATCTTTTCCTCAAAACCTGTTCATCAACTCCTTCCCGTTTTCAATCTGCATTAATAGCTCCTTGCATCAACTCCTCCAATTCATGCCAAAAATCCCGAAATTGCTCAAACACGCCCCCCCGGGCACACGTCTCGGAATCCGACAAAATTAACATCAATGGAATCCTCATCCTTTTACGAGTCTATACATACCAAGAACATTAAAATCGGACATCAAATGCCCATTCAAATCCTCAAAAGAATTCTCAATTTTTTCTTCCATTCTTCCCCAATTTCCACTCTAATTTCTCAAATTAAATGATGAAATTCAAGACTAAATCATGGTATTAGACCAAATATGAGTGAAGATTACTTACCCCAATAGCTCCACTGAAAATCTCCTCAAATTTCACCTTCTCCCGAGCTCTCCAATGTTTTTTATGATATTGAACTCAAACCCTCGATTTTAAAACATAAACTGTCTGCCCAGACTTTCCTTCATCGCGAACGTGACACTTCCCTCGCGTTCGCGAAGCACACTACTTCACAGACCGGGTTTTCTTCTATGCGAACGCGAGACCCATCTCGCGAACGCGATGCCCAACTGCCTCAATGCTCTGCGATCGCGACACCTACTACGCGAACGCATAGA